TCTAATATCATTTTCAGCTCACTATTAAGTGTTGACTTAGCCATCGGAGTGTCCCCGCCGGGTAAGCCACCCCGGGTTCTCTAATCTAGTTCTTGCAGGTTCCTCAGTTCCCGTCGTCTACAAAGATGAGCACATCATCTCCTGCATGGAGCAGCTGGGTTGTGCTACACTAGGGAGCTCCACTTCAGCCCTGAGTCATCAGCCACTTGGGAGCAGACAAGATGACGAGGTACTTAGCTAAGAAAAGTGATACGTGACCAAAAACCATTACATCAATTAGCCCAAGGGTACTGACCTAAGGGTATGCTAAAGACTAAGTTATCGGGGAGACGATAGCGGGACACTAAGTACATCAGTCTGTTTGAAGACAGTTTGGAAGGCCCGAAGTCATCGGGGTTCCGACCTTGGGAAGAAGTTGGGGGCCCCGACTTGGAGGATGGACCCTCTTCCTAGGCTTCGGTCTCCCTGAGCCGAGATGGCTCAACTTCAGGGTCAGAGGTTCCCTCTAAAGACCGGTGAGGGGAGGCACCCTGCCGTGGGCTGACTTCCCCAACAGGAACAACAACGCCCTCCACCTCGCTAACACTATCTACAAGCCTATCTACGCTAGAACTCAACATAATCGGAATGCAGGAAAAAGCTAAGGAATGGGGACTCACCGGAAACAAAGAACGAAGTGGAAAACGGAAAGAAAATCGAGTTGGAAGACTTCGATGCGACCTCGGGAGAGCTCAATCGCAGAATTTGTGACGAGAAAAATGAGTCGCGGACCCTCTTATTTATGGCCGCTATGTCCGAGAACTAACGGTCGATATCGAAGCAATCCAACGGCTCCTAGGAAAACCGTTTGCATGACCCCCGAGGGTGAAATTGGTTTAGCGCATTTTTTGACGTCCACAGAGTTTATAAATCGTGTGACGTCCATGCATAAGCAAGACGCGACCTGGGTTTTCCTGGTTGAGCCGGGTGAGCGAACAAGTCCAACCCATGATTCATCTGACTAGCTAACCGAACCTCAGAGCAAATCTACTTGGCTCGTCATGAACTCCCCGCACTAGGTCAGGACCCCTGGCTCGGGGAGTGGGGGCAATTGATGTAAGGTGATTTGGCCCGACCTAATAATAGGGGGACACGTGGACACGACCTAACTGACAGGACGACAACTCATCCCGACGTACCCAAGTTTGCGACGGACTGAGCTCGGATTACCGAGCCACCTCGGGGCAAGTCCACTTCTAGACACGATTGCATCAAGATCACCTCGGTTATAAGGCACCTCGGCATTCGTACCAGGACGAATGCAAGGGGCACTAGTTCAAGTAATATTGACCGACCTCTGCATGATAACCCCGAAGATCTCGCCACCAGATTCCATGTTTTACGGGATTACGCTTCATAACAGCTAATCTTATCTCCTCCAACCGATTCGGACGGCAGCGATATGCCTTATCAGCTAACGACGTTATCTCCTATTAATACGGTAACGGGCCTCATCACGGCAAGAATCCCGGAACCACTCCAAAAAATCCGCAAGGACTCCAGTATATAAAGATCCCAACCCTTCGGGGACAGAGGTACGCGTAATCAATGCTCATTAGCTCTCTTGCTTTCTAAACTACATTTAGCTCGCAAACTACTAACTAAGCATCGGAGCGACCTCACCGGATAAGCACCCCCAGGTTCTCTAATTCTCTCTGTGTAGATCAACCAACTCCATCGTCCACTAGAAACCAAATCATCTCCAACTAGAAACAGCCGGATTGCGTCGCATCACTTTCAACTACTCGACCCTCTCTCTCAAAATTCTTTCTTCTTCCTGGCTACAACTGCTGGAAGAGAATAATTCATAGTATTTTCTCGTTTCTTGATATTTCTTTTCATCTTTGAATATTTTAAGGGATGGCCTTTCCCACTTGAAAATGGAAGCCCTCACAGGCCAGCCTCCTCTCCTTTTCCCACTCTCCTTTTTCTTTTCATTTTTTCCCGTTATGGTCACAATCAATTGTGCAAGGTAAAAGTCACAGTCGAACTTGACACTTCGGTGATTTCTGCTACTTTCTCTGAGTGACAAACAAAGCAAGTGTTATGCACCAACTCACTGAAGATGGTCGTGGCTGAGTGGCTTCTCCTTTTGGGTTTCAGCCTTCACATCATCATCAATCATGTATTTTCAATCTATGGATCATCTTCCTTCCTTTTTTTAATTCCGGCCACATGTTTGGATAAATAAAATTTTCCAAATGGGTATTTTATTTGCCATGTGATGACTGATGAGCCTCATTCACCAACCGCATAGATAAAATGCTTGTCATCAAGTTTCAACTTCTAATTATTGCTTAAAACGAGTTAATTAAAGATAGTTAAGATGTTGTTGACTCCAGTGAAGAAGAAAACTGGTTAAAACTTGCCGAGTAATTGACTATTTCGAATTCATCTCTTTACTCTGATAAGTTGACTTGATTCCCACTCAACTGGATCAATTTTGCTGGTTTCTTACATTCAGCTATGTCGTTTTTCTGCAGAGAAAGGCCGCCATCCACGACTGAACTTGGGGTAGATACCACTTGTTTTGTAATTTGTTTTCACATGCATCGCCAACAGGACTCAGTTGTGCTCTGGAGTAGGTGGTTCATTGTGGGAGAGAGCTTGCACAGGGTATAAGGCTGAGTGAGAGATATAAAAAAGCCAAAAAACAGAACCACCGCCAAAGACTTTGGTCGGAGTAGACAACTCATTTGTTCTGAAAATAAACTTCTAGAAAAATCTCGTGGGACCTCAAACTGCTTTGTTCAATTACGACTCAGCTCCAAGGAAGCAATCCCACGACTAAAAAGAATGTTTGAAATGCCGGGGACGAGAGATGAGAGGGAAGAATAAAGAAGCAAAGTTTCTCCAGGGAAGAATAAAGAAGCAAAGTTTCTGGAGAGAGAGAGAGAGAGAGAGAGGGGAAGGAAAAAGAGGAACAGAGAGAGGGGGGCTTGAGATGGGGAATGAACGGCACTTGAGACTTGAGAGCCGGCTATAGCGGCAGACAAATGTACCGCGGTTGGGGGGCGCGGAAGAGGAAGGAGATGTATTTTTTGAATTTCAAATTTGAGCGGATTAACAAAATTTGATAAATTTTGAGTTCCGATTGCCATTAAATACTTGACTCCGTTAATTTTGAATTTGGAATGAAGTGGTGTCGTGGCAGGGACAGACAGTTTCTGTCCCTAGGGGACAGAGGATGCGGGCTCCAGCGTTGCTTTACTGAATGCCAATTATTATGATCCCACCGTCTGTATCAAATCTTATATATAAAAAATTAAATCAAGGTCTTCGATGTATTGCAGCCATGAATATAGGCATCTTTTTAACACCAGTTCCATCACACGGTCTCTTTATAAGGAGGAAAAAAAGAACAATTGCACTTTGAAAATAGTATTTCTTCATTATCATGATTCTGATTGTCATCACTATCGATCCTTTAGTTACAGCAAAAAAAAAAAAAAAAGGAAAAATCCAATTGAATGGTTATTATCAAAGCCCTAGGTCTTGTTATTTCTTTTACATATGAGAAGGCAACATTATTGACTTGTTTAAGAAAGAATGTTTTAATATCAACAAATGCAATTTTCCATTCGATAAAAACAGAAAAATAATTTAACTGCAATTTACTTTGAAATGGCCCCAACCTCAAAAGTATTTCAACTTACAGCTTCGGTACTATAATACATAAAATTTCAACTGAATTCAAGCAAAGGACTACAATAATTGTTTGAAATAGTTGGATTTTTTTTTTTTTTGAGTTTTTCACACCAACCATTCGCTCCACTTTCCTGTTCATTCTTTTTTTTTTTATGGCCCCAGTTTCTATAGCTTTTCTAATTCTGAAGGTTTCTAATTGCTTACCTCTTCTTTATTCTTGTTTTGTTTTTTTGTCCAACACTAGTATATGTTTCTATATTCCCATCTTGTTTTGCAACAAAGGGACCCTTTCGGTGGATGACATCAAGCTCCACTCTTCATTGTCCTTGGCAATTTTCCTTTCTTTTGCTTTCCCCCACATCACAGCATAGAATCCAAGGGAAATTATAGCTGACCCCACCACACTGCACAGAATTCCAATTCTAAATATCACTACTTTCTCCTACATACAACACACTAAAAGCTCTGTCTGGATTTGGGGAGAATTAGATAACAAGATATGATAGTTTCTTCCTGGTTGCACAACTTGGCTTCTAAGATGGAGTGCAGCAGAATCCAGAGAGTGCAAGTCTATTGTTCGGTCCCCAAATTTTTTTTTTCAGAGAGAAAGTATATACCTTCCAAGATAGAGACTGTCCCCAAGGAAGGCGATACCCATTACAACTGCAATAACAATCCCAAAGGGCTTGAACATTGCCACATAGACGGGCCCATTCTTTCCTAAGCACCACAAATGAACAAGGGAGCGAATTGCACATGCAAAAACTGCCTACACCAAATTCACATCACTGCATGTTAATTTCCAGTTTCTTTAAAGGAAATTCAAAAGTAGGTCTTAATGAATAATGACTCATCTACCTGTGAAACTAAACAGACCCATTACAGCCCAGATTTAGGGGAAATTTGACAAGTCTTTTCTGTGTATTATTTTGGGTTTTTTTAAGCTTGGAAGACTAAAGTTGGTCTTTCTCTGTTTAACAATGAAAGACGGGAAGATAGAAAGACCTATGCCAAAGTTCATGGAAGCTTAAACTGGTCAAAATTCTGGAAGCTTCAAATAAAACTTTTTGTCTTTTTGTACCTAAAATCTTTCGTTTAATAGTTAGTAGACCATAGTAGATTAGGATACTTACCACACGGTCTTTAAAGACAATACCCTAAAAGCTCATTATGCCTTATGACTATATGGGCTGTCAGAAAATCTTTCTAAAAAGATTTACCAAACAACATTTTAGTCTTCATCTAAGTCCCATAAGGATTGACTTCAGTTTAATCATAGCCCAATTGGACCTCACAAATTAAAAATTGCTTACCGAGTAGATAATAGCAATTAACTCCAGATTAGGCCTTAATATCCAAGCACTTGGATCTTTTTCAGCAATCACAGAGATGAATGCTGTTGGGATGGAGCCAAAGAAACAATAAAAGAAGGTTATCGAAAATTCTGCTTGGTAGTCCTTAACGATTGAGGCCTGCCAATATAAAAGAATCCAGATGGGCTCAGATATTATCTCTAATTTGCATCCACTCTGTAAATCCTGGATTATAAAATGGGTTTTGGGTTGAACTTACCTGAATGATAAACAAAAACGCAAGCGCCAGAATATGAAGTGAAAGGAGAAAGCCTCCGAAGACCCAGTTTGATTTTGGTGAGAGTAAGAATCGTTGGTGGGCCAAGTTGGAAGCTGATGAATTGCTGATGAATATTGATGGGCCTTTATAGAGAGTCACTACAAAAGCCCCTGTGATTGATACCAAGGTGCCCAGGAGTTTAGCCCGACCATATGAACTTTTCAAAGCCAGAGGCTCCATCCTGAACAAACCATTGTCAAATACATTCATTGAAGAGAATAAAAAAAATGCTTTTGCGTGACATCATTTTCTCATGAACTAGGTTCCCTGGGTTTCACTTTGAAGATTAACTGGACCAAAAATCTCCCTAGGTTCAGTTTGGAAGAAGTATAAATACAAATATGTAGAGTGTAAATCTGTGGGTTTTGTATTATTTTGCCTGTATTTGCACCATACACTTTTGTATTTGTATTCTTTCCAAACTGAGCCTTAAGATCTCATCCAAAATGTATAGGTTGCAGTATAATTTTATTTGCACTAGTACAAATGTACAGAAGTGAAAATGAAAAATGTAAATTTTGGTTTAATTTTATTTTGGGTTTTACTTTATTCTACTTTGGGTCTTATTTTTAATTCATTTTTTGCAATCAAATAAAATAAGGTAAAATTTTAAACAAAAATAAATCAAAACTTGCACCCAAATCATTTGCACTACTATAATTTTGCATCAATGCAAATGAATTTACATTACAATCAAACACAGCCATATATGTTTTGAGAATTAAGGCAAATATTTGTTTTGTTAAGCAGCGACAGTGATAATGAGTTCAACAGTTCTACTGAAATTCACTAAAATCTCTACATGAATAAGATCTCGCTACGACATCCAATCATGCTATAAGTCTTCTCTCGCATCGTACCCCACTTTATTATTTATATATAAATTAGTCAAGCCCCACGCAATACACGGATTTTATTAAAAAAATTATGACAAAATGGGCTCTTATCATATACTTGATTGGGCCAAGCCAAATTGAGCTCACTCTATCTTACTAATTAATTTAAATGCATATGATTCTTGTTGTAATTTTAGTTAGATTAAAAAATTAATTAATTTAATTTAGTTATTTTAACTTAATATTTAAATAATATGAAATTATTTTAACTAAACACATATGTTTTAATATGTATATAGATATTATAAAATGATACATATAATATATTATATAAATTATATCATATATTTTATAAAATTTAATGAGTGCCTTAGGCCCAAAGCCGAAGCCTGGGCCTAGGTTATATGGCCTTTATCATAGGTGCTGAGTCCGTCCTTATCACTTGTAAATAAAACCTTCTAGGCTTTGACCTTTACCGTCCATATTAGGATGTTGGAGAAAAGTTTCTTCCCTTGAGGTGTGTTTTGTTCCCTCTTATTTACTATTAAACCAAATAAAAGTAGTGTGCTAAGTTGGGCGGGTTGGGCCAAGTTTTAGCTCAACCCAGGCCCAATCTTAAGAATCGGGCTTAAAACCTGAGTCTGAAATCAAGCTAGAATTATTCAATCCGATCCTATAACACACTTAAAATTTGATGCATTCAACTTTTGGGCCCCAGCCTAGTTTAATGACCAAAAATCTAAAGCCAACCCATTGTAGGCTAAATTGATTTTTACCCCTTATGCTGAATTGGAATGATTTGTTATAATAAATAAAGAATCCAGATTTACTCCTCACACAGATGTTCCTAATGCACGGCTAAGGAGTAAATCCAAACTTCCAAACTCGTATATAAATACTATGCATATGATATGAGATTACACATGTAATGAGACATGTATAACAGATTGAGTGGAAGTGCATGACAAAGACGACAGATCCAAACAAACCACGAAGATGTGTTTGTCAAATTCGAATATGGTCCCAAAACACATCGTAGCTGTACATCGGGAAGATCTTCCTTGCCCTCTCAATGTACGGCTGTGATGGCTGTTGGCACCCGTGAATTGGGATGGGATCCGGACTCGTGTTTGTGCGTCACTCCAGATCTGCTACAAACTAAGCGAGTACCGTACGTAATCAACAGGAGAAACATCAGTTGTGATCCGTACAATGGGCGTATTTACTTATCCCATTCTTGAGTCTTCACAAAACACACCTTTGTTTGTAGCAGATCAGGCGTAATCCAAAAAATAAATAAATAAATAAAAATAAGAAGGAGTACTGGGATAGATAGAGAGAGCAGAACCTGAAGATGATAGCAAGGATGAAGATAAAAGCTGGAAGAATGTTATCTGTTGCTGAATTAAGAATTGGAGAGCTGCTTCGAATGCCTTCGTATTGAAGGATCTGAGAAATGCAACTGCAAGGGACGTATTTATGTTTTAGAAAGGAAAAAAAAAAAAAAAAAAGGATCCATCCCGTAGTTGTTACTCATTTCTATCGAGCGGAACAGCTTTTCTTCTTTCTTTTTATTCGTTAGGAAAAGAAGATGGAAGAGAAAGCTGTTGAATCTTAAAAGGAAGCACATTCACATTCATACAATCATACCGTTACTCAGAGAATTAATACAGAAGCATACCTCACTATGCCAAGTAAGAAAAGTCTACAGAGAATGGAGAAGGTGAGTGGGGGGTGTTTCGCTCTGCAAGTAGATTGTGTAAGTTTGGGATGATTTGCCTTGTCGATAACCTCAATGACCCCCAAATTAATTAATCAGTAAATACGTTTGAACTAGAACCAGAAGCATGCAAGCAAACAAGCTAAAAGAGTAGGTTTAATTTGAATTTGAATATATACCATACCTGCGGCAGATGAAGAGAAAAGGCAGCAGGAGCAGAGTGGCGAGAATATATGAATACAAGATGAAGACGAAGTTGCTCATCCCTCTTCTCATGGCTGCTTTGCTCAGTGTTGTCAGCCCTATACTCCCACACTCTACCATCACCATTGCCGCAAACGGCATCGCACTCCACAGACTTGATTTCAGTCCCATCTCTCTCTAAGACAAAGAGACGCAAGCTCTAGTGTTTATGGGCACCGGAATTGCATTTTCTACGCAATCAACAATGGAGAGATGGAGGAGGGGGTTCCAGTCCTTCACTAAATGCCAAAATTATTGAGGTTTACCTCTTCCATAAGATGACTCCCGGCCCTATGGTCTGGATATATATAATCGTAAGGCAAACAATTGTTTTGATTTTTGAACGCTGTTGATCGGGAATTTGGTGTGGGAATAAACGCTATATAGGCCCCAGACGAGGTCCATGGTGTCTTCTAATAAAACCATTTCCCATGTGATTTTGGCCCAAATGGTATACACATATTAATGGTTCGCAAGTTTCCTATATATAAATTAAAATATTTGATTTCCGATAGCTTATTGCAATAGACAATTAATAGTTATCTTGTCCGCTCCGCCTGTTCCCAATTTGGCCTATTCAATTATGAGTTCCATCTATCAATTATCATTGGTCATAATATATATATTTCTTAGCAAAATTCATTACTTCTTTATCCCACACCAAAACAGCCGAAGCTGATTTTTTTTTTTACCCAAACAGACAAACTTTTTCCCTGACATGACTATGCACCTTTTGATGTGAGAAGTGATACTTGCGGCCCTGGAGGTGAAGAAAAACATACATGATGTCTAAGTCTCGCTCCTTTTCGTCATTTCGATCTTTCCCATTCTTAATCAACGATAAGGCTTCTCCACCCCCATTTCGTTTTGTTGCTTTCTTCACGTCTATCCTTGTCAATGTTCTTTGCTTCTATTCCTTCCTCTTTCCTCCGCTATCCCAACAACCAATAAAAGCATTCCACTCAACTGTTCGCAAGAGTGATTACAAATGAATCGACTGAAATCATTTTATATGCGATGCTTCTCTTGCAAAATAAAAATACAAAAAAAAAGTATAAATAAAATCATTTATCTAATATATAAATGATGGATCGAATAAATAAGGGAATACCTTTTTAAGTCCTCATCGCGTATAACTACGTACTTGTGTGAATTGTGTCCATTACCTACCACGATTTTGATGAAAAATCGTGATAGCTAAACACAATAACTGTTAAGTAAAGTAGGCTGTGAAATCAATAACAATACTCTACACTAATCATAAAATATATGGGACTCAACTATTTGGTAAAATATCATCTGTTGATTGTAAACCCCTCACTATGGGGTTTCATGTGTTTTATCACCGGTGTGGGGCATTGTCATGGTGCTACAGCCCGCTGCATACATAAAGTGATCAGCTAATCCAAATTACTCTTTTAATAGTCATATTAATTATGGGTCAAAGATAAGGAAACGCACAAAGAATCATCCGTTGATTGTAAACGGTGATCACATCTGCTGTGGACTCCAATGTTTTAAAACTGATCCGGAAATGTAAATGGTTTCATCCTCCGAGTCACAGAATCAACCTATGACATCATAAATAAGATAGTAAGTATAATATTTTTATAAATATACGTAAAATAGTTGTGGAGCGTTGAGTTATATTAAAATAGTTGTGTTGTAATTTTTGGTGTTGGTTCCCATAAATTGATGAGAACTGTTTTGAAATTTGGACTGGACCCGATGGTTGGACCGTTTGACTCAGGAACTGGTCAATTATCTAGTTTTAGTTTATTCTTGATTAGAAGATTTTCAGAAAAAACCATTGATTTGATCAATAAACCACTGATCTGGATGCTTGAACCGCTAAATCTTTCAACCTAGTAAATATTTTTTAGGTCATTTGATTATTTTAATTATTTTTTCATTTTTTATTTTCTAAACACCATCGGCCAATCCGTTCAAACCAGATGATTGAACCACTGACCTAAAAACTGGTGGCCAAAGTGGTTCTTCTACAAGTCTGTTTTTAAAAACTTGTGTGCCCGCAGTCTTTTACAGCCGTGCATTGGGAATCTCTATGCTTATATGTTTTTTTTTCATGAAAAAATATTTCCAATGCAAGGCTGCAAGGGACTCTGAGAATAGTATGAGCACAGTCTTGTGAGTACTAAATCCGATTTTGTACTGTATTATGTCAAATTGTCAGTCTTTCAAATTTCAAAAACATATAAAAGATTTATTATTGTGAACCTGCGAATTGTTGTGGTTGACTGTTCAATGGTTCAATCGTCTACATTGATGGTTTTTTTTACCAAATGAACGTTTTTCTTTGGCAAAAAGGCGGGTTGGATGATAAATTGAACGAGGAACATGACTGATTCCCAAATCAAACGGACCAAACATCTAGATCAATGACAGTTTTAAATCCTTGATCCATTCCCGTTGCCACCAAGAGGAAGGTTAGGGGATCGGATGGCTATCCCTGTTGTGTAGGCCTCTTCAAAAAATATAAAATAAAAGAATAATAATTTGATAGCTCTATTTACCTGTGATGGGGATTAGCTCTATCAACTAAGGAGAAGCTATCCCTCTAGAGTCATAGATTCAACAACAAAGCAGGCCAATCAGCCATTCTCAACCTGGCACTACGGCAGAAATAATTTTCATCATCCAAGGTGAAGTGGGGCCAAGTTAGAAATTATTTTGGGGGCGTTGTACAGCGTGAATTGTTTTTCTTGTTGTTGGTTTTAAAAATAAATCAAAACCGTATGATTTGAAAATAGATTGTTTCTCAAAACAAAAACACAAAAAACATGTTTTGATTATGTGTTTGTTTTCTGTTTTTAAAACTGAAACTAAAAACACATGTTTCTGAATCTGGTTTTTAAAACATGTTTGCATCTTATTATTCAACTTCATGTTCCATAAATTATCTAATTTCTATACTAAAAATTTTGTTTTAGTTTTAAAAAACAATATTTTGTTGGTTCTAAAAATATGTACTATTTTTTTAAACAAAACCAATCTGTTTTTTCCTTTTGAAAACAAGAACAGAGTCGAAGAACATGTTTTTGTTTTGAGATCACATCCGCCCCACAACGTCCCACAGATGTGAACTATTTTGTTTCTTTGCTGATGTGGCGATTTGAAAAACAAAAATATTCATATTGTAAAACGCCACTAGACTAGTTTGGTTTTTTGAGAAAACCATTATTATTGAGAAAAATTATAAGAAAGCCCTATTATAAACTTCCTTCCAATCAAATGCAGACCTTTTATTTTTATTTTTTGAGAAGCCCGTAGACAGATTCATTGCATCAGATCATCTATAAGTAATTAAGTACAAGCCTTAAAGAAGTCCAAAGGAATGGCCGGGCCAAGAGACAGGCCTAAGAACAGTACATTCAAATTTAACAAGTTATATGAGCCGCTCTACTGCTTATGAAGGATACATTCTAAAGTAATGAATGAAATTTTAGTTGTTTAGGAAAAAAAAAAAACGTATGTAGGAGAAAAGAAAAGTGACGAAAATTGCATAAAAATCTCTACAATCAGCCGCCCAGGAACCCCTAGGTGAGGGTCCAACAGGATGCGAACAATATGGAATCCAAACTGAAAGCACCAGCCATTTAATGACTCTCTAAACAGCTAGGGTTTCCTACTCACAGGAACTCTACTCACTTTACCCAAATACAGGGCGGAGTTAGGCAGACTCAGGGGAGCCATGGCCCCCTTTATGGTCCAGAAATCCGCACACTGAATACATCTTTCTATGTAAGTTTTCACCTTCTTTTCACTTTTCACCCAATGATTACCTCCCCTCATGGTCCATCCATAAGTTTTGGCTTCCTCATAAAAAAATTCCTGACTCCGCCCCCTGCCCACATGACATTGCAGTCACACATAGACATAAGGATATGGAACATCTCCGGTGCTTGGTACTTATTATGAATGGGGAGATGTCCTCAATGCACGGCTATAGTATTCTGTTGATAAGTGTGGGTAGAATTCTTGTGAATAGGAAATCCAAAATAAAAAGGATTTAGCTTCATTAACTTCAGTCTCATCTAGCTTAGTGCTCTGTTCCCAGTTCATCCAAATAGGGACTCTCCTTGGCATTTGTTGAAGAGTTGGTTATATTGGGAATCCAAGGCATGGATCACCATAAATATTGCAGTTTCCATCCATTATAAATCAATGCAAATACGCTGAATCTTTCATGAGATCATCTCTTGAGTCAAGAATGCAGTGCCAAATAACCTCCAACTCCAAATTCCTTCCAACTATGAGAATGCCATCAGTAAATAATAAATTATTTAATTTAGGGCAAATTTAAAGCCACATAAAGATTCATTCTCCATCTTGGAAGTGAGAAGACAAGAAAGAATATCCACATAGAGGATGAAAAGATAAGGGTGGATACAATTTGGTGGAGTACCCCTCTGGATTGAACATTTATATTATATGTATCAGTAAATATAATAACAAAAAACTTTGATAATTTTTTATTAATTTGTCTATGCTATTCAATTTCGAATATAAATCAATACAAAATTTGGATAATGCCGGTATCTGATTCGATTTGATCTACTTGCAGCTCTTAGATAGGTGACAACATCATTCACTTGTTTAAAAATAAAAGTTAAAAGTCTTAGAGGACAATTTTATGGTACCAAAAAAGATAAGATGAGCCACTTACAGCAATCCGATATTCAGAATTCTAGTTGAATTTCATTGATTGGTGGTCTACCGTGTATTGAAAACATCTCCCAATGGGTAAATTTCTTAAATTGTTTTTATTTTTATAGTTTAGTTAATTGATTAAGTATATCTTTATTGTTTGTTTATTGTCTAATGCTATCTCTATCATTTCTGATAATTGAGTAACTTTACTCTTACCATTAACATCTATTCCTTCAAAATTTGTATATATGTAATGGATTGGGGTGGGCCAGATTTTGCCTGCCCCTTACCCGATCCCAAATTCAAATTCCCTGCCCTATACCTGCCCCGATCCCCAATGAGGCTAAAAATCCTAACCCCATCCCCGTTCCCGAGGTAATGGGGATCCCAAACTTTGCCCCGCCCCGCCCCGGTCATTCTTACTTGTATACTTATTAACTTTTTTTTTGAAATATATCCAAAACTATTATATATTATGTAATATAATATATATTAGCATATAATAATTATATATATTATGTTATATAATATAGTCAGGCGGGGCCAAGGTCAGGGTGGACAAATACCATCCACGACCCCAAAGTTTTGGGTTTTCCCTACCCCCCAAGCCCCGACCAGTGGTCAAAAAACCCACCCCCGATTGGGGTGGGGCCCCCATCTCTAGTGACGTATACTTTTTTAACCCAATTTTATTGTTACCGTCTTCTTCCTTTTAGCAACAGCAAATCGAGCTGGCTTGGTCCTTATCCAG